TCCCTAAAGTCAACACTTGTAGACGTTTATAAGGCAGAAGCCTTTTCTTTGCCCTTTTCTTTACATAGTAGGGATAACAGTAAATAATGGGGACACGTGAGGATAAAATAGGAATGGAAAAAACTTCAGAAATGAATAGTAACATGCGGGTTGCCTCTTTATATTAGTAGGGATGATATATAACTGTGTTAATTGGTGGGGTAAAATGGGCAACGAAAATGCTTCAGAAATGAATAGTGCACGACGGATAAAGCAGTCAACAATTGTGGCAAGTAATAAATCTATATGACCATTTTGTTTTGAGGTGCAAAATATTTATAAAGTGGGGGAAAATGTGTTAATTGGTGAGGATAAAATGGGCAACGAGAATGCTTCACAAATGAATAGTGAATGGCGGATTGGCTCTTTTATATTAGTAGGGAAACTTGAAGTAGAGACGAATATAAAATGTTGTTGATAAAAAATATATAATTTTGTGTGAAAAATGAAAATTTGAAAAATGCCATTCCTAGTGTAGACAAAAATACTTGAATTGATAGGATATTGATTAATGGAAAGATAGATATGGACAATGTCAAACAAAGACATGCCCGCCCAAATTTACACCTCTACATACAACTATACCTTGCATGAATCGACGAATGAGATGCCTTTTTGTACATTGGAAATAACAAAACACTCAAATTCGAAGTTCTAATAAATGCCACTCTTCAGTCCTATCGTATACCTTAATTTTTAGTATCTATGGCACATTGGGTCCCTATTTGGGCGTAGCTTAAAAAATGATAAAAATTCAAATCAAAGTCAATAATTAATTTTTAATTTCACATTTTATGGACCCACAACTTTTATCAACATTTCAACAATAGAATTCAGTTATTTTTACCAAAATTTACTAAAATTTTGATTTTTAGCTGTACCAAATAGGGGATAAATTTCATATTACACCCCGTCCAATTTTATAGATTGGACATTCTTATACCCGTCGTATCTAACATACAAAATAAATAGTTTTGGATGAAAGGTAATTGTTAGATAGATGTGCTCTCCACCACTCCTATAAGTATATTGGGTTGTGCATGTTTTACGCTCATTTAACAAACAAATAAACCCTTAAATTGCCGAATAGTCAGTCTCTTTGCCAACCACGTCTTCCTTAGTATAAGACAACCTATTCAACTATCTTCTGTTCTCGAATTCTTCAACAATGGCCAAGTCTTCTATTCTTTTGCATTGTACCAGGTTCTCTCTCTCTCTCTCTCTCTCTCGCTGTAGGGTATAAGCCATCCAGCCAGCCTTTAAAGGCCGAGTCGAGCAAGCATTTTTCATTTTTAGAAAATCAATAGGAAAAAGCAAAACATCGGGCACAATGTTGGCCTTGATGAAACTCACTTTTTTGCACACATTAGACAATTGTGGGTGGCGTCAGTCTCTAACTCAACTCACTTTATACCTGCACTATATGCATGTGTAGAACATGAACATATGGGAAGAAAATTTTTGGCATTTCTCCCAAATATGTTCACAAGAAACAAATAAAATATATACGAAACAACAATAAAGAACAAACTAACTTCACCGAATTTATCGAATGAAACTAGGAAGAAATGCTTGGAAAATGTCTTCATTTGTATTTTTCGTTTTGGCAGCTTGCAATCTTTGAAATGAAAGTAAACCCTATTGTGCATTATTATTTCTTGATATTATAATTCAATACTATTGACTTTACTTGTATTTTAATATTTATATTTTACAAGAAGTCATTTTCTACCTTTCATTTAGATATGCTCGGAGCTAGGAGTAGAGGTATGCGACAAAATTTGTGAGTTATCTTGTACAGTTCTATTCAGTCTGATGCGTAACACGGATGGAGAATACCGTTGTTTATGTTGCATATGTTTCCTAAATGCAGGTGCTAAATTAATAGCCGTAAATGGCAACAAGAGGACGAGAGAGTGCACCTGGAAATGAGAAAAAGGGAACGGCTTCACATCAGGTTCATGGGAACACCACACAGAAGAATCGTCGTCTGAGCCTTTCCAGACCGAGGGATCCTCCCGATCCACCTGCATCAGGAAAACATATTCCAAATTATCTCAAGCCGACTTTGAGTTCAAGTCCAGATGTTTCTAAGCAACTCGTCAAGAAACAAGTTTCAAGCGACGCTTCTAAAAAGCTAAATCTTACGAGAACAAAATCCTTGGACAAGGCTGGATCATCATCACCTTCTCGTACACCAAAACCACGCAATTCACCTAATCCCACACTACGATCTTCATCTTTTTCGGGTAAAACCACCATAGCACAAAAATCTGTTCCAGATAAATTGTTGAAATCAACAAAGGATGGTGGAAAACACCGGCCTTTGTATGCTAGATCTGGAAGTACTGTAAAGAAGAGCAGTACTATTAGTAAGAAGCAAGACACTGAGGTTGGTGCATCAACAAAGAAGGAACAAACCACCGACTCTCTTGAGAGAGTCATAACTCCTGATATATCTGAAGTTCCACAGCTTGAAACACTACAAGAAGAACAATTTTCATTTATGGAAGCTGAAGAAGAGAATATATATGCTGGAAGCAAAAATGAAATGGGATATGGAGTTTTGGCGTTGGAAGATATGGAACCTGTAAGGCAAGTTCAACTGTTGGTGTTGGAAGATATGGAACCTTTAAGGCAAGTTCAACTGGAGAGCAGCAAGGATGACGAGCTTGTTGAGTATTCTACAGTTTCAGAACACCAGGATGCCTCAGCTTATGTTGAGATGAAAGAACCTGACAAACACAATGCAGAGGAGGAAAACGAGACTCAGATGAATGGAAGTGTCGCAGATATTCCCCAAGTCGAGGCTGAAGAGAATGAAGGAGAAGGAGCAAAAGCGTTGGATGAGAAAGAAAAGGTGATCGTTGTTGGTGAAACATTAGATTCCAAGGGAACAAAAGATCAAGCAGTAGCCAAGGAAGTGAAACAGGAGGCCGAAAATGCAGCTCCGGAACAGCAAAGCACTCAAGGGAAGAAGAATTCTGCGGTTTCTAATGATGTAATCGAGGAGACTGCAAGCAAACTTCGTGAACAGAGAAGAAACAAGGTGAGAGCTCTAGCCGGGGCCTTTGAAACTGTCATATCCTTACAAGAGCCCAAGTGAGAACAACTGATAATGCTCCTATCCTACAGTATATTCTACATCTGATATGAAAGTTTAAAGTTTAGAAATTTATAAGATTATCCACATATGCTTCTTCTTCTTCCCATTTTTTTTTTTTTCGTTTAACAAAGTGCTACTGGATTGCTTGTGAGAGAAAATCGATTATTTACTTAATTAAGCAATTTTTTATAAAATAATTTTACTCCTCGCAATACGTGATGAACATATCAAAGCCCAAGTTGAGTCACTTATATTCAGACATGAAATTAAAATCCCAAAAGGATCCCATGCAACTATATCCTCAATTAGTGCTGTTCGAGTGTAAAATACCTTGACAAAGCTGTTGGGACGCTCAGACGATATCAAGCTACTCAGTTAGGCAATAGCAATAGAAACATCCACTGCCTACTCTGCTATTTGAACTTGAACAGGATATAGAATATTCAACTAGCACTCCAAGAGCCCGTGCAATACAAACAATGGAGGACTAGGAATCCAGGTGAGCACTGGCGGCTGCTAGACAGGCCACCCAATATAAAGAAAAAAAATTACAAACGGCCGCTGGGGTTCATCAGGTGTCGGCTCCGATATAGAGACTGGTAAATCATTGACCAACTAGGAAGGACCTCGACACATGGCTTCTTTCAGGGTAACCATGATTTAATAGTATCAAGTATGCCTCCACTTGACAGTTGGAGAATTTCGATATGGATTTGTAACCCCATAGTCAAATTTCTCATTCAAGTGCCTCATTTTGAAACTGCCATGGCTTACACGCTTTGGCTGAAAAAGCAAGTCAAACATTTTCTCCAAATGCTAATGGCCCATATTTTTGCATGTAGCTACGATAAATAGGGACAGTTGTCTGAATTATAACCTGGCACGTTTTCTCGTGCAAGTCTTTGTCCAAAATAATCCAGTAGGATTGCTTCTTGTACATAATATCAACAGCTTCACTGAAAAACTTTAATCTCTTTTTCGCAAGATCACGGGAAGTTGCACGCCTGCCAGAGGATTGGCCTTCCCTATTTAAAAGAGCAGGGAGTTTGCCACAGCACTTTCTCAAGTATATAGTAGAATAATACTCCTTGTACTGATCTTGCTTTCTTAACCAAGTATCTCCCAGCAGGTTCCCGAGCTTCGTGCCTTTCAGATGCTTGTATATCTGCCAAAGATTGTGCATCAAGAACATATAGGAACAAACAGCATCTTCGTAAGCCTTGGACCATGTCACCAAATTCAGCCAAATAGCTTTCACTAAATTCAGAATCTCGAAATAAGAATTCTCTCTTGGAATTTTTCATGCTTAAGAATGCAAAAGTATCCAACAGTTTCAATAGCGCAATAGGATTCTTCTTATTTACTAACTGTTTTCCCAAATTGTAGAAATGTAAGAATGCCTGCCTGGGCAGCTATCACAGCAAAACAGCTCTTCCACACATCCAATCCCATCATCTTAAAGCGTCATTACAAAGTTTATATTCAGCTTCAAACAGATGATTCATAGCAAACTCCAAATGCTTGCCCCACTTACCAATAAAGCCATCAATGTTCAAACATCATCGAACTCAGAGACTGGTATGTCAAGATAATCCAAATTATGTGCCTTCGAACTTGCTCAAACATTCTGTTGGGAATTTATTTAATTATATACAACGGAAAATAAAATAATTTCAATTCCCACCAAAGATCTTCTTTCTGTTTAGAAAGAAACCATGATAGGAAATATACATTTTGTAGATTTTACAAACTCCTTTACTGATGTTGGAACATAAACAACAATCCCGTCTGCAATCCGCAGTTGTCTGATTGTCCAACATCCAATGGAAATCCACACTCGGAATAAGAATGAGAGAATTTTGATTTCTCTTCTTTTCTTGTACTAGCTAGATAATGAATTGTATTCTAATTTTCTAAAACCCCAATAGTTTATTAATATATATTCAAGTGGGCTTGGCCATGTCTTAAACTTTACCTGATCCAATATTTAATTAATCCAATTAATTAATTAATTGATAAATTTCATTCTTCTAGTTCTCTTTTTGCGTGTGATCTATTAGGTTTCTGATTACAATACCTAACAGAATTATTAATTTGATCTAATCAAAATCAATAAATTAAAATACCCCTTTTAATTTATTATTTATTCACATAAGTCGTCACAAATTGACATCTATCAATGTGTCAGGGTAATACATGTAACGAGAAATATTACGTAGTATAAAAAAACTAAACTTGTTCGTTTACCGTGAAACTATAATCATTTCATCAATATGATCCGATTAATTACGAGATATGGATGTGTGTCATCGCAATTATCGATTATATCTTTTATCCCATTATTAAGTCAATGTAAGTCAAAAACTCTTTTTCAACTTATGAGTACACTTTGGTCAAGGATTTCATTAGCAACTCAATTGATTGAAATGTATATCATATTCTCTTACTATCTAATAGTGACAAATCCTCTATTGATACTTCACAATTTTCATATGATTCTTGACATGCTCGAACGATGCCATATTAGCGACCCTTGATGTAACAATATCCAACATCACCAAAGTATGTTTGTCCTCATATAAGGTACTATGATGAGCTCAAGTCGAAGGACCAATTCCACTATCAAACGTTAGAGATTAACCACTGACAATCAAATAGTTATCCATGTGGAATCCCCCTAATGGGTCTCCAATGTTTTGTTCTAAAACAAAACATTTATGTGTTCATTTAAGTGTTACCACAATTTAACTTGTGAGATTAGCCATTTACTTCTATGCGACCGCCAACAGCACCGAGGGCATCTCCTTGAGCTCAAATAGGGCAAAATGCAACTTCCAAAGATGGTAATCTTTGCATAATCTCATCTAATCTAGGCCCAGCTTTCTCTAAAGACAACCCCAAAGCCTTTGATTTCTCTACATTGGCTTTTAACAACTTCCGAGCAGATATCAAGTTTTAATTTCCTTAATCCATTTCACCTAATTGAATCATAAAATCAACTCAATTGAACTCAACTTCCTATTGCACAAAACTTTTAACAAACACCAGTTAGGCAAAAGATAATCTTTTAAATCGGTTCTTAATTTTGGAAGAATTTTTAGAAAGAATATAGACATCAATCTGGCTTCTCATGACGATTCACTTCCATTTCTTCCTTCACCAAATCTTGACAAAAAAAATACAGCCCTTTTCTATGTTGCGAATGATTGTGTTAGGGAAAGAAGAAAAACTTACACAGAATATGAATGAAATACGATAAGCACAATGATATAAATCGGGGTCTTTGCAGGTAGCGAGACAAGTTAAATGCTAGAATGTGATGATGATTTAGAGTGTCTTAAGCGACAATGACCCAAAATCAGAAACTAGAAAAGTGATTCTTTTGGCCAGCAATTTTTGCTTTAGTCCATCGTCTTCATGCCAAAGTGTTGACAGTAATAATCAAACTAGAGAAACGTTAATATTTAATATTATCCAACAGGATTTCTCATAAATTGGGATAGTTTACATTCATAGAGCAATGCTTTTATGTTTACAAGAAATAAGATTCTAATTTCTTTAATCATGCCCGGTCTAATTCACCAATGCAGAAACAAATTCATCAATGTTTTTATTCGAGCTCCCTTCTTTAACAACTGCTTCTCTTGCCATATTCTTCCATTTGATTGCATTATATCGAATTTCTTTCCCTTCCTCTCTATCCATCATGAGCTCTATACAACGAACAATCTCTGTATTTCAAACAATCCCTTTCTTATTAGCCCGAGTCTTGATTCCTGTTTCCCATACTTCGCTCACAAATTTCGCATTCGTGCTTTGCTCAGTCCAACATGGAATTGCCACCATTGGAACTCCCAAACTCAAAGCCTCTAAAGTAGAATTCTAACCACAATGTGTGATGAAACAACAAACTGAATCATGTGCCAAAACCTCTAACTGAGGGCACCATGAAACTACTAGACCTTTTTCCGCCGTCTCATTGGAAAAAAATTCGGGAAGTTTGGACTCTTCTGATGCTCTAACCACCCATAGGAAATGCTTATTGCTCATTCTTAACCCCTTTGACAATTCTTCCATTTGCTCCACTCCTAATTGAACTAAACTTCCAAACGACACGTAAATAACTGAACGAGTGTGTTGTTGGTCGAGCCATTTATTGTAGGCATCAGTGTCTAGTTTTAAGATACTAAGACCATATTCTTTGTTATTTAGAAGAAGCTTGTCTAAATAGAATGATGGTATGGTTGGTCCAACTGCCTTAACAGGCCAAAAGTTTGCCATCCACTCAATCACCTACCAAAAATTCGCAGAAAATTTTGAAATTTTCACAAAGATCAATGGAGTCCAAGTAAAATCTCGGACAATTTAATCTTTAACGCACAACATATCAACTAAGTCCTTATACCCTACCTGGAGGGTTTGGGTTGTACCTGTTAGACATTTATGTATTGTCCTATCTAATCCAATACACAATGATAGGTTAGACCAGACAATTTTAGACATAATGAATCCAGAAAAAAAAAACTTTAAAAAATGTGTCCAATGTTTTATGTAATACTATTCGACACTACATACTAAACATGCCTCACGTGTAATAGCGACAAGGTTTCTTTTTACTTACCACTTGTTCCAACTAGTGAAAGGTGTTGACAAGAACCCAATATGCTTTCTCCACATTTTGGAACTAATTTAAAACTACTTCAAGAGTTGTTGGATATGATCCATAAACATAAATAAAAGAAGGCAAGTCTGAAGATTCCAAGACTGGCAATCCATGAACCTTAATTTCATTTTCACTAATAGGAACTTTAATCTCCCCTTTATACACGTAGTAGTAAATCTGATCCACAGCACTGTTGGAATTGTTATAGCAAGATGAAGAAGAGAGCAATGGAAGCTAGGGTTCCAAACAAAGAACGAGTTCAATCCATTAATTAGAAAAGAGAGATTACAGGGGAATAAATAGCAAAATGACAAAAGGACTAAACTACCCTAAACAAGTAAATAGAACTACCATTATACCCTTTAACATCCCCCTTCAAACTCATGATGTGACAGCAAGAAGCAACGAGAGTTTGTTAATCAAAAAACAAAAAAGCTGAACAGGGTGTGATTTCCTGAAAAAATTAGCTAGTTGCATCGAAGAAAAAACAAAAGGTAGAGTAAGAGTGCCATGCAGAAGATGGTGACGAATGAGATGACAATCAATCTCAATGTGCTTTGTCCGCTCATGAAATACGGAGTTGTGAGATATCTAAATAGTGCTCTTATTATCATAGTACATTGGAGTCAGAGTGGAAAGAATAACACCCATATCTGGAAGTAACCAACGCAGCCAAATAATTTCAGTAGTAGTGGATGTCATAGTACGATACTCAGCCTCGGTAGAAGATTAAGAAACAACAGTTTGCTTCTTACTCTTCCAAGAAATAAGAGAATCATCCAAAAATACACAAAAACCAGTGGTGGATTTACAATCAATTGGATCACTAGCCCAATCAGCATTAGAGTACGCACATAGCTCAAAAGACGATGTTGACGGAAACAAGAGAATCTGAAAACAAATGCCACGAAGATAACGCAAAATACGAACAACAACAGCCCAATGAACTATAGTAGGAGATGCAACAAACTGACTAACAATATGAATAGCAAATGCAATATCTAGACGAGTAATAATAAGATATACCAAGCAACCAACATCGTACAATATAAAGTAGGATTTGTCAAAGGTCTACCATCAGAGGGAGAATACCGAACGTTAGTCTCAAGAGGAGTATCAATAGTTCGAGTATTAGTAAGACGAGCACGTTCAATGACGTCAGATGTATACTTAGACTGAGATAAAATATAACCCTTAGGAGAAAAAGCAACCTCAATACCTAAGAAGTAGCGTAGAGGACCCAAGTCCTTCATTTCAAATTGACGAGCTAATTCTGACTTCAAGATAACAATGCCATCAATATCATCACCAATAATAATCATGTCATCAACATATAAAGAAAGGATAATACGAC